TGAGGACAAAGATTCACTTCAGATCAGGTATTGGCTGAACAAGGGCAGTATCTCTGGAGCAGGTTCCAAAAGTGAGGCCTTTAATTAGGAAGCACTTTACCAATGAAGATATCAGCTTGTTCCATGGAAATACTGCAGCTGCTGTTTCATCTTCACATCAAGGTTTCCTCTCTTACAAATAAATAGCAAATGCATCCCCTTGGGCAGGGAACTGAGCTCCCCACCATCCCAGCTTTGCAGGGTGTTTCAGGATGATAAGGGTTTGCACTTTTCTCCTCACAAAGGAGGCTGAAAGGAGAGGGTTCCATGGGTGGATGAGATGTGATTTAAAAGCACTTTTGGTTCCCACACAACATTTTAAATGCTTTCTCCTTTTGGAGAAGCTCCCACTACAGCATCAGGGAAACTGTGAGTATTGGATGGCAGGAAAGGGGAGTGGGGACTGTGATGGCTGTGAGAACCTAAAAATTGCTTGCCCATGGCTGGGGTTTGTGCAGATACAAAATAATTTTGGCTTTTTCACTTGCAGTGTATGCAATCTGGGGTCACACAGCTGCCCTAAGAAACTGCATAGCCTGGTGGCTGTGATTTTGCATCAGCCATAAATATCCATTGCCAAAAGTATTTTATATTGCAGTGACAGCCCCTGCAACAGTGCTGTGGCAAGAAAACCCATCAGGCAGCTGTTTATGATGATAAAGCAGGGGATGCCTCTCGTTTTGCTGTGCAGAACACCATGTTCAGCTGGCTGCTGCAGGAAACAGGAGAGCTGCAGGATGCTCTGTCTTGGTGAATCACCTCAGCAGCTCCTCCCAGCAAAACTCCCATGGAAGAGAGGGCAAGAAATTAAGGATGCTCCTCTGCTAATGGAGAGCAGCGTGGAAGCCCTCCTTGCCTTCCTTTCCAGCAGTCCCCCAGAGGTACAGAAGACCTTGCTAGGGCACAAAAACATAATTTAAATCTTCCTGTATTAGCACTAATGAGGCTGGCCCATGCTCCTCTTCTTAAATAGACACTTAATTCAAGCTCTCATCAATACAGCATTCCCAGGACACAGCACTTGGTGGCAGGAAGCAGAGATTTTCACTTTTCAGCCTGTTGTGGGTGGAGAAAGAAATATCCCTTCTGTGCACACAAGCACAAAGGCTATTCTCTCTCTGGTTAAGATGGAACAATTTATATATAAAATAGCATAATTTCACAAAAAAAAAAAAAGAAATCAAATGCAAACTCTGAAATATGGTCGAACTAAAGCTATGTATAGGGAAGGAAAATACATAAACACACCTTGAAGTATTTTAAGCAGATTTTAAATACATCTGTCCTACTGTAAATTTTCTCTCTCAAAGTACTACACACCCCTCTTATTTTTTTAGTGCTGCTTTGCAATGGTACAGCTTTAGTGTGCAAAAAAACCTCCTCATGTTGGTTAATCAAGCTTGATATTTTCTTCTATTGAGACTATATCTCTACTTTTTACTGCAGATTTTGATAGAGACAGAAAATTTTATATTTCAGAAATTATTTGCTGGATATCATCATAAATTTTTAATAAGTAATTTTTTTTTGGTGGCCATTTCCTCCTTCAAACGAGCAAAAAGAAAGTTTATCTCCTATGAGAGCTTACCAATTTAAACTGGTGAATGTTGTAGCTGAAAAACATTCCTCAATACTTCAAAGTTTTTGCAAGACTATTTACTTTCTTCTAAGTACTGATTTTTAAATTACACACTGGCTTTTAAAGTAAGCTCCTCGTCAGGACTGCAAGCTGCTGAAGGCTGAATATACATTATATTTTATGAAGCAGAAATGTTGGTTTCCTCTGTATCTTAAAAACCTGAATAGAAGCATAATGTGCTGCCTAAAAATATTTCAGCCAATTTCTGAAATACTCTGCAGGCTGCTACTTATATTTTAGAGCTGGTAAATGCAGCCTTGCAAATCAATATTTTCTGAAAAACATTTCAATGTCACCTAATGATCTTTCTTCCTGTTTTCTTCATCAGGGAAATGGAGAGTGAACATGCACATTATAATCCTTGGGCAATATTTTGTCTGACTTTTGATATCATCTTGTCTGTGAAAGATTGGCTCAAATTTCTCACACACTCAGCAGAAAATACAGAAGTAATTTGCCACCCTGCTGTGAATTTTAGTGTATTTTTCAGTAATGATGTCTGAGGTGAAGGGAAGGATTTGGGCAGAAATGTGCTGGGCAGCATAGTAAGGGGAGGATTTGGCACTTAGCTGGTATTTACACTCATCAAGGGGAAAATTTATGGCAAAACCTTTTCAAAGATACATTCAGTTAATTTCTCATTCCCATTCGTATTATGAACTGCTTGTCAATAAATGCTAGGAGAATTTTTTTTCTGCTGATGTACAAAGAATCTGAGATATCTCATGTGGCTGAGTGTGCTGGGCTAAGGTAATTCCAAGAGGCTGCAGGTATTTTGCCTCACTTTGTGACAGCAGAAGTCCCCAAGTGAACAAGAAGGTACTTTCCAGCACTCAAAATTGAAATAAACACAGTAATTTATACCAAGTTTCTTTTTTTTCTATGCCTGATCTACCAGGTTTTCAGAATGCCAAAGGACAGGTTTTAGCAATCGGAGAGATGGCAGCCAGGAAAAGTCTTACAGCCTGTGAGAAAAATGGATGGCAGTGGCACTTTTCCCAAATCCAGTAAGACAGTCTTGGGAAAAGCCAGTGAAGGCCTGAAAGGATGAATTGTGTTGTCCTGTCCCTGATGTCACCTCTCTGTGGCAGCTGAGCATGGTCATGACTTCCCCTCATCAATTGGCACCGTGGCTGTGCTGGAAACTGTGGAGTTAACACCATATTTGTATTTGTCAATCTCTTGCACTGTGAGATGAATCTGCACTAACATTTGAACACGGCTTTGAACAAGGCCTTGGACCTTTGAGGGGCCTGGAATCATGGAATTATAAATCACAGAATGGCTTGGGCTGGAAGGGACTTCAAAGCCCACCCAGTGCCTAATGAACTTTCTTCCTCCTAATGGAGGATCCAACATTGGGATCAAAGGAAATGCCTGGAGCTACTCAGTGGCCACCAACACTTGTCCCTGCATCCCAGAATTAGGACACTGGCAGAGGAGGAAAAATGCTGCTGGGGAAGTCCACAGGCACACACTGCAACCACTTGAGAGATTTATTTTTTTTCTGCTTCAGCTCTGGGGAAACCACAACCTTACAATTTCTGAAGGGAAAAAAGGACAAAAGAAATACAATTATATAAAGCCACTAACTTCATTTTCTTCTGAGTTCAAACATATCGATCACTATAAATGTTCTGCCCTGGGTATCCTTCCATCTTTCCTGTTCCAGTGTAGTACAGATTATGTGTAAGTGATCTCCCAGGCAATGGGAGAATGCACTTCTAAATCTGAGGTGCATAACCTGTAGGAACTTTCTCTTTTGATAAATCAGGGTTTGAGTGCTGCTTGCAAAGTTGGTTGTGCAGCCCTTTCAGCAGTGATGGATAAAATCCAGTGTGAGATCAATGCCCTGGCTGTTTGAATGCTCCCCTGAAAAGGGCAGAAGATTTTAATTCCTTCATCTGGACAAGTATTTGCCTCTCAATTTAACAATTTTTTAGTAAACATTTCAACCACAACCCAAAGAAAACATGGCAGCCCCATTATTTTTTCTATGTTTATTTAATCTAACTACCCATGTCACTAGCTTTTTTTAAGAATACCTGAAAACAAAATTATTTTAAGAAGAGTAATTCTTTACTTTGGTAGAAAATATGGTAATTTCTTTCATGTTTTTTGGTTCAGTCTGAGAATAATATGGTTTAAATAAAAATAAAAGGAAAGAAAAAAATATTTTTCAGGCCAAATATGCTTAGCAGAAATGAAATGCCAACTTGAACATTCGTGCCTTGTACCATCCCTCTGATTAGAAATCAGTTTTACCTTAATTTGCTGTCCTACAAGTACTTCTCCTTCCTGTAACCTTAGTGAGAATTGTGACTTAAAACATTAAGAAATAAGTGCTAGAAGCAGTTAAGGAAGCTCACACTCCCTGTCAACACATCCCAGAAGCAAAGCTGGAGCCTCTTCCAGGTCTATTCCATGACCTTTAAGCAAGGCCCTTGCACCAGACCTTGAAAGCTGCTGAGCTCTTCCTGGCAAGGTCACTTCTGGCAGCCCTGGAGAGGCTCAAACTGGCAATATTGTCATTTCTGGAGGAGCTGCTTGATCCTTTTGCAAGGGTCTGCCAGTGAGTTTAGGTGTCTCTAGAAGCCAGGATTCCCCCTGCTTGTCATTTCTGCTTATGCACTGGCTAAGGAATGAGAAGGTGTTTTCAAAAATGTGATTTTTCCTGCTAAACAATGCTTTACAGCTGTCAGAGGTGTAGATTCTGCACATCCTGATGCCTTGGGGTTGGGGTTACCTAAAAACAGAGGACAGACAAGGGAATAAAAAGTGGTTATATTTATTGAAGGGCCTTCAGGTACATTTAGGGCAGACAAAGCCCTCCCAGGGGCTACACCCAAACTGGATGATGGGTCACAGGTTTCACACTTTTATAAGTTTGGTCCATTTGCATATTGGGTGTTAATTTTCCAATTTCAGCTTCAGGTAATGAAGTAATTTACCCCAAGTTTGCTCCCCCCCAACTCACTTTTGTTTACATTTCTCCATGAGACAGTGAGGTGTTCTTGATTCCCAGGCCTGGAGAGGAATTGCTGTGTCTGACCAAACTGGGAAAGCAGTAACTAGGACTGTATATGGAGTTTAGAGCTACACACTAAAGAATCACAGGATTAAAATATATATGAAATATTATAATATTTCATATTGAAATGTATGAAATATTTAAAAATATATGAAAATATTAAAATTTTAAAATACACGAAAAGCTAAAATCCTAAGCCATCAATCCCATGCTGCACATCTGCCCCGTGATGTAATTTCCATTAACAAGGCCGTGGCTTCAACAGCTCCCTCTTTCCCTCTCTCCTTCCAGTGCCACCTTTCATCCAACCTTTCGAGTTCCCTCGCTTCTCCATTGGGCAGAGGGTCTTCATCCCCTGCGTGGTGGTCTCGGGGGACCTGCCCATCACCATCACCTGGCAGAAGGACGGCCGGCCCATCCCCGCCAGCCTGGGCGTCACCATCGACAACATCGACTTCACCAGCTCCCTGAGGATCTCCAACCTCTCCCTGATGCACAACGGGAATTACACCTGCATAGCCAGGAACGACGCAGCAGCCGTGGAGCACCAGAGCCAATTAATCGTCAGAGGTGAGGAGGTGTAATTACTTTGAAAGGCGCCAATTAAGCGGGATCTGTCGGTATTTTGTGGTGACAGCTGTTGGATGGGAAGTGTGAAAAAGAGGGGTGTGGGAATCAGAAATACAGAAGCTTCCACAGACATGGAAGGGTTTGATTTGCAGCCTTGGGAGAAGCGTGGATTGATGTAAAAATACAATACACAGACATCAAGCAGAAAAATCATAAACTTATGTTTCTGTAGTTGTAAGAATATGCCTTAAGTAAGTGAGAAACTGTGTTGATAAGATGGTGAAGGGTTTATAATGTAGAGCTGTGGTTGTATAGAATAAGCTGAGAGTTTAGAAGTTATAATAGAAGCATATGTGAAGGGTTTATAATGTAGGGCTGTGGTTGTATAGAATAAGCTGAGAGTTTAGAAGTTATAATAGAAGCATCTGTGTGCATGTGAGATAGCACTCATTGGATAAAAGTATCCACAGTGCAGCAGAATTAAGTAAAGGTTAGAAAAACAAAATAAACACTGTGGCAAGTGTTTATTGGGTTGGAAAGTTCTATATTGCCTTGTAACAAAGAACTTGTGACTGCTCTGGAGCTGTGGCCAAATGCTTCCTCCTTTAAAATCTCACAGCCTCTGAGACTGATGTTTGTCTGAGCAATAAATCGTTCTTAGCCTCAAAATAGTCCCATCCCTTCATTAAAAGCAGTGACAATGATAGAGGGGAATATGGTAATCTCTGACTCTGTGACAGAGAGCACAGAGAGCAATGAGGCACAGAAAGTAATGTGGTTTTTCCTATCTAAAAGTCTTGAAACTAATGAAAAACCCTGGAGTGTTTGGGGTGCTGCAGGAGTGATTTCCTGGGAAATTTTGTCATTGGGATCAAGCCTTTGAGACGGTATCAAATTGTTCTCTACTATTGTTTCAGTGTGCTTGATTATACCCATTTTTTCTTTGGACCACTCTCTCCTACAACATTATGTCAGTAAAAAAGCAGATTATTGATGTTGACTTCATGGGGAAAGGACTCTCTGCTGTTACATTTTACTTTTCCTGGTTTGTGTTTATTATGCACTTAGCAGGATTCACGCACTCATGATGACTTCACAACATTTTGCCTTGAAATAAAAGTGAATATACATTCAGTAAGCAAATATTTTATGTGGAAGAAACCTTTCTAGTCACACCTTAGCCAAATTATCTAGAGATTATTCCTTGTGATGTATCTTCAAACTTACTGTGTACATCTTCAACAAAAGCACATTGCTTCCTTTTCTTTCTAGGAGTTTTTCAAAGTGTTTCAAATTTTTATTTTTGAAAACTCAGTCAGACCCTTCCCTCTCCACCATCTCCTCCTTGCTATCAAGCCACTGGGCTTCTCAGAGAAAGAATAACTCTACAAGGAACCTCAGTAATTTCTGCCTGCTGCACATTTCTACATTTTATACTCCCTCCTATAAGTTCGCCAAGACAAACCTTAAAATCTCAATGGGGCTTTTGCAATCTTTCCTGGGTTTTTTCCACCCCAAAATCTGAAGAACTCTTTTAAATCAAATGTTCCCAATGCTATCCTTAAGGAATTGTTCCCTAGTTTTCCAATATGTCTACTTTTTTTTTAATGCTAGTATTCCCAAAACTCAGTGGTAAACAGATCCATTACTTTTCTACTAGTTTTGATACAAATATTTCTTCTTTTTTTTTTTAAATTTCACTGATTTTAATCTTGCTTAAGATTATTCAGTACAGTTGTCTATTACTTTCCTCATTTATTAATTCTTAAATGAAGTGGTTTGATTAACTACATGCATTTATTTATTCCTCTCTAAGCTTTTCTGCTAGATTTTAACCCTATTCCTCACTCTAGTAATGAGAGATTTTCCTCACCTCCTCTTTTGCTGGAGAAGGGAAGGTTGAAAACCTCACATTACTGCCTGTGTCTGCCCTGCTCAGAAATGCTGCACCTAAAACCAGCTGGGATTTTCCCTGGTTTTCAGCTGTAATTCATCTCTGGAAGCGATGGGAATGAATCTGCAGCATCCCTGGGTGGGTTCCTACAGGCATTTCTTACTCTCTGGGTGGTTTTGCCAACTGAGAACAGGTTCTCTGCCACCACTGTCTGTCCTCACCACACTGAGACTCGTGAATGCAGGGATTTCTGCTCTGTGCAGGGATTTCTGCACTTTGTAGGGATTTCTGCCCTTTGTAGGGATTTCTGCCCTGTGTAGGGATTTCTGCCTGTCCCCCACTGATGGGGACAAGCCCTGCCATGCCCTGACTTCTCCTGGCTTTGCCTGAACTGCACTTTCCCTGTCTCCTGCTGTCTGTGGGTAATTCCTCCCCCGACCTCTGTTCCCAGGACGCATCTGCCTCTTGCTGCCTTCTCAGGCATTAATCTGTTTTCCCTTCTTGTCCAGCAGAGGAGTTTTGGAAAGCCTTTCTCACCTGTCCCTCACCACAACACCTCCATTTTCACCTCCATTTCCCCCTCATATGCTTCCTGCTCTAATTACACCTCCAGAGGAGGTGTAAAAAACCCAAGGGCATGATAGAGAGGAGATTTCCACTCTCTTATACCCAAGGGCTTAGAGAGAACAATCCTGGATCCTGAAATTTTTGGGAGGTTATGAAGGCTACATCATGTTCCCCCTTTGCTTATCTGCCCACGTAATGCTCTGCAGAGCCTCCTTTATTCTTCTCTCTCTTCTCTCTCCCTGTCCCTTTAAATGATAATGTTTTAATCAGTTTTGGATGTGTATCTGAGATAACAGCTCTCACTCAGAGGAAAAGGGGAAATATCATGTCTGACCTGAATTCTCTGCCAAAACCCTACCCTGATCTCTTTCCCTCGTGCTGAACTGCTTCAGCTGCCTCGTCCCACAGAGGTCAGAGCTCAAACAGCCACCAAAGAGTCACTGTGATCGCTCCTCCTCTGCCTCCAACCTGACCTGACACATTTCAAGTCAGACTTGTTTTCCTGCTGCCTGTTTATTCTCCAGGCTTTCTGATCCCGCTTCATCTTTTTGTTCATAGGTGCTGTATAACTGCAACATATTTTTCTAAATAATCTAAGTGGTTTATCTCAAAATTAAAGGAGAAGTGGTGCTTTAACTCCTCTTTTTTTTCTAATCCCCATTGTTTGAGGGTTTCTCAGCAGCGTGCTGTAAACTTAAATGTTGGATATCCTAAATGCTGGGAGATGTTTTCTGGTAAAATCTTATTTATGTGCACACTGTGCATTTTGATATGAGAGCAGACAGTGAATGGGAAAGGAAAATTAGGTGAAATATGATTGTTACCCACCCACTTCCTTTTTCCTTATTTAGGCTGTCTTTGTACTCATTTCAAAAGTAGACATTAAAACAGTGCAGGCCATCGTGTTTCCAAACTAAATGGGAATCCACATCATTTTACAGCACATGGGTAGGACTAGAAGTAAAATCTAAAGTCAAGACATTCCTAAGGTGAATGAAGAAACACAGGCCAACTGCTCATTGCTTCTTCTGAATTATTAGTGAACACACAAACTTCTGCAGATTCCATACACAAACCTAAATTCATCATCTTCACATCTTCAGATACTTTATCCTCAATATCTTCTGTCAGATCACATAGATATGCAATTGTTTATCATCATGTATTCCTGTTTAGTTTTAATTCTATTAAATGGATTTCTTATATTCGTCCTACAAATATTATTTTTCATATCTGATCTGCACTGCCATTTTGCCAGTGGTGCTAAATGGCAAAAGGAAAACAAGAACTGGCTTTTTAAATTCTGTGGGCACTTCATGGCAAATCTTCACAGTTCCAATTATTTTGTGCTTTAAAAGCAACCAGGTGGTGATGAGGAGCCCTAAAATGGGCCAGCACACCTGGCCAGCAAGTGTGTTAAATATCAGAGGAAGAGGATGGCCAGCTTCCACAGCATCACACAGGAGATGGAAGGCAGCAGCTGAGAGAAAGTGAGACAGTGAAGCTTTGGAGCATCTGGCTGAGATCATCTCAGGGCAATCCCAGCTCTCTCTGCCATGAGCTCCTTGGTGGCAACCTAGAAATGAGACAGAGCCAAATGCTCTGGACATGGGGCTGTCAGTGCTTCTCTCCACAAATTATTGGCTAATTTTAGATTAATTGGAAGAGGGGAAAACACCTTCACTGGAGCTGAGCTCTGCAAACTTCATATTAAGAGGTGATTAATAAGGAACACCGGGTGTAATACCAGAGAATCTAAACAGGCAAAACCTTCTGCCAACACAAGAATTCTTCCAACTGGGATCTCTCCTCAAACATGAGATACAAATCCACAGAAAAGCAGGCTTGATTAGTCCCAATGTTTATGGAATGTTTTTTGAAAACTCAGTAGGAAGTGGAAGTGAGTGAGAACGGGGCTTTGCTTCTCAAAATTTAGGCTCTTCCAGATCCTGGTCTACAGATCTTCTGGAAATGCAATAAAAATTTGGCAGCTAGAAAGGCTTCTCAAAACCTCATAAATTTATTATTATTATTATTATTATTAATAATAATAATAGTAATTTCTTGGCACACTCTTGTTTGCTAGTCCTTAAGAAAAAGTAAAGGATAGGATCCTGTTATGAGAGCCATAGATAGAAATGAGGAAAATATCTTCTCTGTCAACTACTTAAATCATCACGAGGAATTAATCAAGACTTTACTTATTAAGGCTGTCGTCTAAGAGTGATTAAAAATCTATATACACTTTATCATGTGTTATTAATTTCTGTACAGTTTCCTAAAATGAAGTACTTATGAAATAAAAAGCAATGAAAAGAATTCTAATGGGTAACCAAAAGGAAAAAACTGATAAATCTGTTATGAGTTCAAAATTTTTCTGATACTACCAGAAAAGGGAATTCAAAGATGCATAAATCATGATTTTATATGTGCTGTTAGTGAACACATCATAAGTTAAAATTGAGATAAGGTCTTCAGATACCTAATAACCCCCCATAATGCATTTAGTGCATTAAATGTGTTTTCATTTTGCACTTGC